TAGTGAGAAGTCGTGACCAGTGAGGTCCAATTAGATGTCACGTGTGTGGATGGATGTCCCACCAACGACAATGGTTGGGGTCGCGCTAAATCACGAATTGGTAGAAGTTAGAATTCACGAGCCATTGAATCGGGTCCCAGTGGCTGAATGGTATACGAGCTTGCCTTGTAACCGGAAGGTCCTGGGTTCGAAACCCAGTGGGTGCGTACTGCCGATGATTCCCAAACTAGGATGAAACAGCAGCTGTCCAGTACTCCCTGGTTTTCAATGGTTCTCTAACTGATATCAATCCGTGATCAACTCGTAAAACATAACTAATCCTTACAAACCAAACTATAGAAAGTTAATCTGATGCTCGCTAGTGACTTGCTACAGGTCGGAGTTTCCTGAGTTCTAGTGAGAAGTCGTGACCAGTGAGGTCCAATTAGATGTCACGTGTGTGGATGGATGTCCCACCAACGACAATGGTTGGGGTCGCGCTAAATCACGAATTGGTAGAAGTTAGAATTCACGAGCCATTGAATCGGGTCCCAGTGGCTGAATGGTATACGAGCTTGCCTTGTAACCGGAAGGTCCTGGGTTCGAAACCCAGTGGGTGCGTACTGCCGATGATTCCCAAACTAGGATGAAACAGCAGCTGTCCAGTACTCCCTGGTTTTCAATGGTTCTCTAACTGATATCAATCCGTGATCAACTCGTAAAACATAACTAATCCTTACAAACCAAACTATAGAAAGTTAATCTGATGCTCGCTAGTGACTTGCTACAGGTCGGAGTTTCCTGAGTTCTAGTGAGAAGTCGTGACCAGTGAGGTCCAATTAGATGTCACGTGTGTGGATGGATGTCCCACCAACGACAATGGTTGGGGTCGCGCTAAATCACGAATTGGTAGAAGTTAGAATTCACGAGCCATTGAATCGGGTCCCAGTGGCTGAATGGTATACGAGCTTGCCTTGTAACCGGAAGGTCCTGGGTTCGAAACCCAGTGGGTGCGTACTGCCGATGATTCCCAAACTAGGATGAAACAGCAGCTGTCCAGTACTCCCTGGTTTTCAATGGTTCTCTAACTGATATCAATCCGTGATCAACTCGTAAAACATAACTAATCCTTACAAACCAAACTATAGAAAGTTAATCTGATGCTCGCTAGTGACTTGCTACAGGTCGGAGTTTCCTGAGTTCTAGTGAGAAGTCGTGACCAGTGAGGTCCAATTAGATGTCACGTGTGTGGATGGATGTCCCACCAACGACAATGGTTGGGGTCGCGCTAAATCACGAATTGGTAGAAGTTAGAATTCACGAGCCATTGAATCGGGTCCCAGTGGCTGAATGGTATACGAGCTTGCCTTGTAACCGGAAGGTCCTGGGTTCGAAACCCAGTGGGTGCGTACTGCCGATGATTCCCAAACTAGGATGAAACAGCAGCTGTCCAGTACTCCCTGGTTTTCAATGG